GCGTGAGTAGGGCCGGGAGAGTGGCGGGGGGTGTGTGTGAGTGTGTGGGGGTGCGTCTTCTCATCCCTCCCTCAGGGCCTCCTCCTGCTTTCGGGGCGCGCCCCAGGGTCTGGCGCTGTGGGCTTTGCTCAGGGACAGGCCCGCCCCGCCTCACGGGGATGTGGCGATGCCTTTCCCTCCTCTTCCTCGCCCCGCACCGAGGCCGCCTCTCCTCCCCGCGGTTCTGCCTGCCCTGCTGCTCTGGGCCCCTTCCATCCATCTCCACCCCTGGCCCGGCCCACGCCGTGGGTTTAGGTACCACCAAAACCTGCCCCTTGGTTCTCTCCCTGATGGGGGTGCTGGATGGTTTGTTGTTTGTTTGTTGGGTTTTTGTTTGTTTTGGTTTTTCCCCCTGACACCTCTGGGATCTCTCTCCTGAGTTGCACTTGCCAGCTCTGTGTTCAGCATCTCTTACTATCAGAAGGAAAACGGTATCTCCAAAGGTACATAGTAATGTCCATTAGTTAAGAGATTGCAAGGTCAAAGAAAAGTGGTTTCTGCCCGCAGTGGAAAGTGCCATGGTTTATCAGAGTGCCCGGGGCTCTGCTGTTGGTGTTTTTCCTTTCAAGATAGCGCGTTAAGTTCCATTTTGTTTCTGGCGTGGATGGGATGTGATTATTTTGGACAGTGTCCTGGCACTTTCATTAGTGAGGAGTCCAAGTTCAGAGCTCCTGGCTCCCACAGTTAAATGAACTGAGACATTTTGAAGGTCAGGCTGTTAACCAAAATGCCAGTTTGGACTGGCCGACAGATGACATTAATAAGAAAATTGTTATCTTAAACTGCGAGACTGTAAGGATGAGGGAAGAAGAGTGTTTTTAATTCTTGTGTTATTTAGAATGAAAATAATTCCAATCTCTGGGATACTGGTAAAGTGGAGTGGGTCCTTCAGTGGGCTGTTAGGGTGGTCGTGGGCTGGAGCTCATGGTGTGTAAGGGAAGCAGGAAGAGCTGGGTTTGCTCAGTCTGCTGGAAAGAGGGTGAAGATGATCCAACTGCCTAACAGGGATGTGACGGGAAGAGGCAGCAAGCACAGACTGCAACAGAAGAAATCCCACTTGTCCAGTTCTAGTGCCATTGGTTCAAGAGAGACATTAAAAAAATGGAGAGGGTCTAGCAGAGGACCACCAAGATAATGCAGCTCTGGGGTCCTCAGTACAGGAAAGACAGGGACCTGCTCGAGTGGGGCCAGAGGAGGCCACAAAGATGCTCGGGGGGCTGGAGCATCCCCTGTGAGGACAGGCTGAGAGAGTTGGGGGGTTCAGCTGGAGAAGAGAAGGCTCTGGGGAGACCTTAGTACCTTTCAGTACTTAAAGGGGATAAACTTTTTTAGTAGGACCTGTTGTGATAGAACATGGGGTAATGGTTTTAACTAAAAGAGGGTAGATTTAAACTAGATACAAGGAAGACATCTTTTATGGTGAGGCTGGTGAAACACCAGAATGGGTTGCCCAGAGCGGTGGTGGATGCCCCATCCCTGGAAACATTCAAGATCAGGTTGGACGGGGCTTTGAGCAACCTGATCTAGTGGAAGATGTCCCTGCTCGTTGCAGGGGGGTTGAACTAGATGGCCATTAAAGGTCTTTTCCAACCCAAACCATTCTGTGATTCTGCCATTCTGTGATTCGAGGGTTGAAGTACTTCACATGGAAAAATTGTGAAGGATTTGGGTTTACTGAACCTCAAGAAGGGAAGGCTCAGGAGGATCTAATCCCAGTCTTCCTAAAAGGAGGTTATAGAGAAGACAGAGGTACTTTATTCTCAGGGATGCACAGTGACAGGGCCAGAGGCAATGGGCACAAGCTTAAAATCTTCACTCTAAGAACAATGAAACTTTAAAGTAGGTTGAGTAGAGAACTGATGAAATCTGCCTCACTAGAAATACTCAAAAGACTTTGCTGAATGGGGCCTTGGATGGCACAACCCTGCTTTCAGTAGAAAGTTGGATCAGATGGTCTCCAGAGGTCACTTCCAATGTGGACTTTTCTACAATCTTATGAAAAAGTTGTTCACAAGGAGAGTAGATAAGTACCAGGACAGGGCCAAGAGAGGCTGTGAGAACTCCATCCCTGGAGATGTTTAGAATCTAAACAGTGATGTGAGCTGCCTGTGCTGTCAGAGCAGAAAGCTGGACCAGAAGACCTTAGGGCTCCCTTCTGACATGAGTCTTTCTATGATTATATGAAGATGAGGTTCTCTGCTTCTTATCCTCAATGTTTTCAATTCTGATGGGTTTTTTTTGTTTGTTTGATTTAAACTAGCAGTATTATGCAGTACTAATTATTTCTACTTTTAAAATCACAAGCCATTTAGTGATTATATTCACATCTGCCAAATTTGGCGTAGTTTGTATAAACTGTATTGAATAGTAATTGCTTTTTGAGCTGATTTTCTTCATTGGAATTAGGGATGCTCTAAGGTATCTTACCGAAGCTCTTCAGTCTGTCAATGAAGTAGAACTTGACGATGTAATTGAAAATGTCATTGATGCCGTTGAAAAACAGCCTTGTAAGTAAACAAATTATTTTTCTTAAGCTTGCTAAGTTTATCTTGTGCTTATAATCTTATTTAGACAGAGTTACTGGCAGCATATGCACTAAGGTATCATTTTAGTCTGTTGGGTTGATCAAGATAAATGTATTTGTTGATGTTTTCTTAAATACTGACGTTTGTAATGTCAGCAAAAGATAGTACAATTTTGCCATTTAAACAGTTGGCAGCCTGGTGCCTCCTGACTTTTAAAAAGAGTAATGAAATTTTTCAGTGCCAGTTACTAAAAGCACCTAGCTGAATTTGGATGGACATCTTTGCATCTGAAAGTATCATTTAAACTATTAAAATAAACTGAAGAAATAATGAGAAATTCACTTGTTATTCAGTAGACCAGGTCCAAAAAAAGTTTAGGGTTGTTGACAGCTATCATCTGGGGAGTCTAGCTGTGACTGCAGGAAGGGAACAGTTGGATTCCTTTGTTCAGACATCACTGCCCTCGCATCCAAGTGAAGTGGGAGATGCAAGTGCAACAGTATAACGGTCCAGCATATTAATTTAAACCAGCGGTGGAGTTTAATCATCACCTGGATGTTCTCTGAAGCAGCAGGGCAGGTGTCCTGTTCTGCCAGCCTGATCTCGTGGTAGTAACATTGGGCAGGAGGTGCTGATAACAGTTGGAGCGCTCTAGCGCTGGAGAAGCTGAACCAGCTTGGCCTGTGAAATTACATCAAATTCTATAAATTATTAAGTCCAAAAGTACAATCCAGAAAACTCCATTGTCTTGGCAGAAGCATTTTATCTGGGGACTACCTCCTGCTTAATTGGGACAGTATGCCCTGAGGTACACAGATCCAGTGTCCCTGCTCCTCTTAAGTGTCATGAAAGGCATGGGGTAGAGCTCAAAATATACCTGGCACAGTCTGACAGCACAAAACAGGAGTTGTAGCACCTTTAGTTAAAGAATGTGGCTGACAGAGGTGGCACTGATGCCTGACATACGTGTGTGTTTACTGATCAGAGCTCATGAGAACTAGGAAACTTGGGCTCACTGCCAGGTTTTGGCCGAGAAGATTCAAATCCTTATAAATGTGATCTAAAATAAATACTAGGCTTTAGATGAGCTCAGGAAATTGTCCCAGCCTATGCTATTTAAACTGAATTAAATCGAGGGTGGTCACATGATTGCTTTGTAGTTTTACTAGAACACAGACTATAGAAGTGATGTCTTTATATTTCTACTCTAGCCATGGGATAACAGATTGTAGCTGATCAAACAGGGAGTAAAAGCAATTTGAAGAACTGGTCCTGATCTAGCGTGAAGCCTGGTGGTACAAATTAACACGTAGTCATTTTTGAACAAAATTTGGGTCTGTACAAGAAGCTCTAGGGCCAATGTAGTACATGCAGTCAGTGCACTCACCAACACTGGTCTTTGTTCAGGGTGGAATTTTGTGCTATAAATTCCCACATTGTCCAGCTAACATCTGTGAGTTGTTTGAGGTTAGGGGTAGAGGGGCACTTCAGACATGCTGGTCTCTCCTGTGACTCCTGCTAACTCCCTTAGTGCCCCTTTTTCTCTGCTATTTATCACTGTCTTACAGAAATTGTGATTTCAAAATCCCATGCCCTGAACAGGGAACTCAAGGGCGGGTTTTCACCTACTGATTTCTGTTTTGGGAGCCCAGCACATAGGCTTGGCAACGCTGACCAAGTCCTTTTGTGAATCTGCATTGATTGGTCTTCCCTTCAAATTCGTCAAAACATTAGCATTTAGAAATATTTTTAAATTTCAGTTATCAGTTTAAATCCGTGAAGACAACAATGTGCCTATCTCCAAAATTCTGTTAAACTGTTTGAATACTTATTTATGACAGCAATCTGTGTGATAACGTTCTGGATCAAAATTAACCTCCAGAATGTGAAAGCTCAGATCTAACACATTTGTAGTATATTTGGCAGCTTTGCATAAACTATAATTGTCTTGTTCTCCATGTTTAGTGAATTAATGGTGGGCACAGTATGTGTGTGGGTTATTTTTTCACTAGAGATGTATCCTTCTGGTAAGAATACTAAGTGATCCATTTGTAAAGAGAAAACAGTGTGTGTCATTAACTTACTGAAAATATGCTTACTTGTATAATGTATTCCTCTGAGAAGACTGAACCATTTGTTGTAAAATATTTGGGACGTACTTACTTTCTGACAACTTTCCACAGGCTGCAGTTTTAATCCTTTGAAATTTTCTTTTCAGTGTCATCTAATATGATTGAACAATCCACAGTGGAAGCAGCTGTCCAAGAATGTAGCCAGGCATCTGATGAAACTATGTACGGTGACATAATTTTTTTCATTTGAGGTTTATGAGGGTTGGTATGCCTTCCTTTATTTCTTCTTGGAAAATAAATGTCAGGCATTTTCTGCAGTGCTACACATGCAGTAATTGCTTTGTGCTTTTGTCTTCCTGGTACTGTCTTAGAAGGTTAGTAATGTTCCTTCTTAGAAAAATTGTTCTCATGGATAAGCCTCTAGGGGATTCTAAATATAATGCTGACATTCTGGAATTAAAATGCTATGGTTATGTGTTACATGGGATACAGGTTGAATATTAACCAATAAAATAAACCAAAAGTTACAATACAGAGAGAACTTGTTACTTCTGTTCATGTCTTTATTTCCTTTTCTCTAGATCAAAATTACCTAAGGTTATTTTTGTGCTTTTCATAAGGTACTTCTTTTCTGAAAGCACTTGGAAAAGTTTTCCTCCATGGTACTTGTTTCTGCTTTTTCATATAGCAGGGCTGTTTTTTTGAAAGCCGTGATTGATTTTCACTCTCTGATAACAAAGTGGAGAACAATTACTTGAGTTTCTGAGAACTTTATTTGCGATCATGATAAATGTGTTTCCTTTAGTGTTCATGTTGTATATTGACATTGTAATGCGAAGCATGAAAATAAATGGTTTGCTAGGCATGTCAACTAGATACTGTGATCCCACAGTTTCTCAATATGAAGCAAATTTCTTTTTTACTTTTCTCCTTGTCACTGGAACCTTCATGATGCAGATGGTTTGAGTGTGACTTTTCTTTATGTTGTTTTATATACATTATTTTTTACTCCAGAAATGAAATCTGTATGCACAGATTCTCAGTAGAGTCCTGAAGGGAGAAGTTCTACAGATCACAGGGCCAGCCTGTACAACTCCTGAATTATGCTGCAGAAAGCCTGAAGGCGAAATTTTGTAGGAAATGCACTCTGAAGCCTGAGACAGAAGTGTCTGATAGGCAGTGATGGTTGTCCTGTGTGAAGGTTCATGGGATAATTTTATCTACTCTGATGAAATCAATCCACTCACAGTGACAAATAAATGAGAGGCATCAGGGGAGAGAGCTGAAGCAGTAAATATAATGGGATGTATCAACTCGATTAATGATCTGAAGAATTTTGCATGTCCATTATTTAAACCTTCACATAAACCATGCCATGGCTGTTCTGTTGTCAAAAAAGATAGCAGAGGATGGTACGGGAAGGAGATGTGTCCCTCTCTCATTTCTAAATGAACTTTTGAAGAGTTTCCTTTTTTTGAATTACAAGATGCAGTGGTATCCAATAGTTAGAGTGATGCAGGAGAAATGGTGGTAGCACAGGGTGGTAGTGAACAAAGTTAATATAATTTTATTCAACCTGTTTTGTTACTGTTTGTTTCATCCACTTCAGATAATGTTGTAAATTTATACTTATTTCAGAGAAAATGTTTTCAACATTATTGGAGCCTTTGATATTCCACGTTACATTTATAATTCAGAAAGAAAGAAGTTTCTACCGTAAGTCCTGCCTATTTTAAGTTTCAACCACTTCTTGTTTTAAGAAAAAAGTCTCTATATGGTTAAAAGTCTGGTTTCTGATCTTTTCCTTTTGGGTCTGCTTATTTTAAGGCGGAGTGAGAAGGTGAGATCATTTTGTTTCTTAGTCTGTAAAGATCTAGTCAGGCTCTATGATAAATGCTGGCTCATAAATAAATGTGCCATTGGGTTTTTCGTAGTTCAGTAGGATGAAATTGAAACGGGGACCTGTATCTCCTGTGGCAGTGTATTCTGTACTGCCTCTGATGTTACTGGCTCTGAAACTCCAGCGTTTATCAGATAGTAAAATGTCCAACCATGTTTATGCCATCTAATGAATAAAATAGACAGTAAGGGTAAGGATATACGTATATATTGGCTTTTTTTTTTTTTTCCCCCCACATTTGGCTGTTTGTTTTTTTAAAAAATAAATTTGGTCTGTGTGTTACAGTTTCTTAGACTGTAGCTTGCAACTCCTTGAAGCCCAGGGATTTTTCTAAGGAGAGCTACAAAAGCTAAAAAATTAAAATTAGGAGCAACTGGTTATCCCCCAGGTTGGAGTAAGGGAGAAGTAGTTGGGGAAATTGGTTGTAAATGTTTTGCTAGCTACAGAATTTACCTTTAGCAGCAAGAGACCCAGACTGCTGACCCAGAAAGAGGCTGTGCTTTTAAAAAGCTCAAAGTAGTGTTGGATGGATAGTAGTGTCCACTGCGAGGGGTTGCAGCCACCTTCATGTAATGTGCAATTCCTTTTCTAGCTTTAGTCTGTGATTCTGCCAGTCTAGCAAAAGCAATCTGTGAGTTTGCAGTAGGAGTTTTATTCCAGCTTTCCAGGCTATCAGAAGCAGAGAACCCCACGAAGACAGTCTGCTATCCATGAGGAAGAAAATACTCTTATTCGTGGCCACTTAAGACATAACTGCTCTTTTAGAAACTGATTTCTGCAGAGTCCCATTCAGGTGGACAGATAAATCTTGAGGACTGTGAGTTAGAGGGAAATTAAATGGATGTAGCCTTCAAAATGCAGAAACACAGGTTCCCTAGCAGAAATCTTCCTCATTGAGTAAATAAACTACGCAGTAGTGTTATAGCTTTTGCAGCCTCCTAGAACTTTTAGATCAATAAGTAATTTTTGCGTGTGAAATGTACCTTTTTTTTAATCTTGATTGTGTTAAACTTCTTGCAGTCTGTCAATGACCAACTTCCCTGTACCGAATTTATTTGGAACTGCCAGAGATAAAGCTGAGTTGTTTCGTGAACGCTACTCCATCTTACAACAGGTCAGAAAAAGTTTTGCTTTGTTTAACAAAATGCACAGACAAAATGCTGGTTTTTATATTCTTACATGTACAACAGTGCTTTGTGTTGAGGTGATTTTATGAGCTACACTTTAAATAAAATCTGAATAAAAACAGGGTCTGTGCTAACGTTTATCAGTCTTCTCAACTGTCACAATACAGTATGATGGATTCATGTCTTTCTGCATTTTAGCATCATGTCTTAAGAGAGGATTATGTATTTTTACATGTGTCTTGCTCTTTTCCATCATCTAGTCTGTCTTTGCATTGATTGTTTAGCATGTCATTGTACGTAGTGCTTGTTGAGATAATACAAATCTCTCATTCAGGCTCTCCTTGAAGCACTGAAGTTTGATTCTGGTTTAGTTCATTTACTCATTTATTCATTTTCCAGTTTTCAAAATGCCCAATGAAAGCCAACCACCCCTTGTCATATCCTGGTGGCACGTGTGTCTTCGGTTTGTGTTGTGAGCAAATTCAGAACGGTATTCCCCAACATGAGCCAGCACCGTGTGCTGGCAGCCCAGAAAGGCAACGGTGTGCTGGGCTGCACACAGAGCAGGGTGGGCACAGGGCAAGGGGGGGGATTCTCCCCCTCTGCTCTGCTCTGGGAGACCCCCCTGCAGGGCTGGGTCCAGCTCTGGGACACCAACAGCAGAAGGACACGGACCTTCTTTTAATAAGTAGAAATTCCTCCCTGTGAGGGGGGTGAGGCCCTGGCACAGGCTGCCCAGAGAAGCTGTGGCTGCCCCCTCCCTGGAAGGGTTTAAGCCCAGGTTGGACGGGGCTTTGGGCAACATGGGCTACTGGAAGGTGGCCCTGCCCATGGCAAGGGGGTGGGTCTAGATGATCTTTAAGGTGCCTTCCAACCCAAACTGTTCTATGGTTCTGTACTTCTATGAGAGTGAGCACAGCTTTTGTCTGTGCTGGCCTGTAGGCAGCGGGGAGGCACTGAGCTGAACTGCGTGAACTCACCTCGATTCCTGGGTTCAGTTTTGGGCCCCTCCCCCCAAAAAGGCCATTGAATGACTTGAGCGTGTCCAGAGAAGGGCAACGGAGCTGGGGCAGGGTCTGGAGCACAGGTCTGCTGGGGAGCGGCTGGGGGAACTGGGGGGGTTCAGTCTGGAGAAGAGGAGGCTGAGGGGAGACCTCCTGGCCCTCGGCAACTCCCTGCCAGGAGGGGGCAGAGAGGGGGGATGAGTCTCTGGAGCCAAGGAGCCAGCGCCAGGCCCCGAGGGAATGGCCTCAAGCTGCCCAGGGCAGGGTCAGGCTGGCTCTGAGGAAGGATTTCTGTGCAGAAGGGGCTGTTGGGCGTTGGAATGGGCTGCCCAGGGCAGGGGGGAGTCCCCGGGATCCCTGGAGGGGTTGAAGAGTCGGGCTGAGCCAGCGCTGAGGGATCTGGGGGAGTTGGGAACGGTCAGGGTGAGGTTCATGGTTGGGCTGGAGGAGCTTCAAGGGCTTTTCCAACCTTGATTATCCTGTGATTCTATGAACTTCTCATCCATGTAGTAGTCTGAGGCACAGGGTCAGATACCCCAGAGCAGCAGAACTCTGTCTACCAGCTACCAGTAGGAGTACGTGTACAGCAATTTGGGATCCCCTGCTCTGGAAGACCAGTTAGCCTAGAAGAAGCTTTAGTTCATACAAACAGTGATGAAGATTAGTGAAACCTGCTGGAATTGACCCACTTGCACAGAACAAGTTGGTTTCTGTGAACAGCAGCTGCAGGTGTCCATAGGGTGTATATCCTGACGCCTCCTTTTCTTAGACTGTTGTGCTGTTGCACCTTTGCCTGATGGTTTCACATAGACTCTGTTGTACAGGTTTTGTGTTTGGTTATCTTACATACTCCTTTCCACCCTCTAGAAAAGTGAAGGTCCAGGTCACTGTGTGCATGAGGGCCACTGATAGCAATTACTGCGTGTGTTACACGGGCTGGTAGCGATGGGTTTGTTCCAAGGGGAGGCTTTCAGACTGCATGAAAAAGAGTGAAAGAAGTGAAAATTTCTACAGTGCATTTTCTTCATGCTTTTGGCAGTTTATCTGTTAGTGTAGCTTTCTCCTGTTATTAAAAATGAAATAAAATATTGCTTACTTTTAATAGGCCCTGCCCTGAAGAGAAACCTGCTCTTTTCCACATAGTTAGCATTTAATACAGTTTACTTCCCCTCGCTCTCTCAGTCCTTCCTTCCAGGTAGTCAGAAATAACTTCTTTTGGAAGGATTGTAGATGCTTTGGGTTTACTTTTTTTGGCTTAGTTTTATTGTCCAGTATTATTGAACATCTATTTCTTAGAAGCACATTCTTGCTAAAAGAACTGATTATGCTCAACAGATTAGAAGTTGCTGGATAAAACAGAGTAAGAGAACTTTAAACAATATTTTGTATAGTGGTTGTAATAAACTGGCTTTTTGACAGTGCTCATTTATTTTAAAACTGGATTACTTCAATTTTGTTTTCTGCAGAGGACTCACAGACATGAATTGTTTACTCCTTCAGCAGTTGTTGCTCATCCTGATGACAGTAAGAGCAAATTCCAGGTAAAAAATCTGGTTTTTTTTTTTTTCTTGCCAAGGGAACTGTACTTGTTTTACGCCTTAATGCAGTAATGTTTCTTCAGTGACATCTTAGTTTTACATCCAATATGAGTAATCAATGCAAATGAGTTATTTTTGATAATTTTTAGCCTGTGTGTCAAAAATGCAGTTATATGGCTCAGATCTGCATGATGATGAAACCACTGAAAAGCAGCTCTGAAGTGCAAGAGAAACGTGGCTTCCTGAGGTGGAAGGGCATTAGCTGGTTAGCTTACTGCACTTTGCTTCCCTCTCCTTGGGGATATTTTCTTTTCTTCTTATTTCATAAGCACTAAATTTACAAACCTACAATTGAATAAGGTCATAACTTTAGTCTGTTCTGCTCCCATCTCAGTTTTCATATATTAAATGCTCTCACTATATTGTATAGTTATTTCATACTGTTAAAAAAAGATGAGTGTGTGTGTGTATATGTGTCACTGGGTACCAAATAACAGCTTTTTCTTTGCTCAGCTTCCCTGCTTCTCCCTGTTCAAGAGCATGCCATCGTGTAGAAAAAGGGAACTGAGCTTAGCTGAGTCGAGCCTTTATCTCCATCCAGGCTTTACAGGCTTTATCTTTCTCCCTTGACTGCTCCTCCCTGTCAGCAGTGGCAAATGCATTGCTTATACTGGTGCTGCAAGAGGACTGGCTCTCTTAACTGCAGCCTGACAGACCCAAATCAGTTTGTCCAGAAGCCGCAGGCAGCGTGTTGTGCGATGTCACCTGTGTTACTCTGGAGTGTTCTCTGTCATCCACCTAAGGTTCCTCGAGAAAAGGAATTAGTGTGACTGCATGGGTGTGGGCTGGCCCTGTGGTTCAGGTTGGATCCTGCTGAGGATCCAGTGACTAGAATTGACATTCTTAGGCAAGAGCAGAAATTGCCACTTGTTATTTTCAGTTTTAATCCAGTTGCAAGCAAAATAATCATGATATTTACTTGCTAAGCAGTTCTTTGTGCTAGCAGCCTTCATTGGAAATCTTTTCCTAAGTGGTGCTCCATTTGACACTCAGCCATGCGTCCCTGATTTTTCTAATGAGCCTGTATTTTCTCATAGCTCATTTGTGTATTTAGGTAAAAACGTGTGCTGTGTGGTGCTTTGTCTTGCTTGTTTAAGAATAGATACACGGTGAGTTTGATTTAACTGTTGTTTGATGCTTTGCCTTTGGTTCCAGCTTAAAACAATAGAAACTCTGTTGGGCAATACAGCTAAAGTGAGAGAAGTGATTGTGCTTGGGATGATAACTCAGCTTAAGGAGGTAGGTTGCTTTTTATTGTGGATATCTAGGTCACCATTCATTCAGTGTTATAATACATTAGAAAATGAGAAAACTTAAGTATCTCACCATTTCATCCTGTCGTGTAAGTCAGTGGCAGAGCTCCCATCAATGTCAGTGGTGCGAGATCCATTCCCTAAGAAGAGACTTTTCCACAAGCAGTTGGTGTTGGAGGGAAAATGTCTTTATCTTCTCACTACAGCATTTTGTCAGGCTTTATGTCAGCAGCCAGAACCAGTTACATTTTTAGGCATGCCCCTTCTCAAAACGCTGGAGCTTCCCGTGACTCTGGTTGGACTTGCTGTTGCATTGGACTGTAGTCATAGGGGAGGGGTGCGCCCGCAATCCAGGCTGCAGCCACTCAAAGGGAAGGTGCTAAGATACATTTACTATTAACTACATCATTTTCAGGTCTGCCAGTGTGTTCTAATATTAAAACCCACTAAATGATTTCGAAGTGCTGACTGAGAGATGCTTCTGATTGAAGCATTTATGCATTTGGGTATATTTTGCGTTATTAATTAATCCTGTTTTTTAGGGGAAATTTTTCCTAGAAGACCCTACAGGAGTGGTCCAGCTAGACCTTAGCAAAGCCATATCCTTTTACTGTGATGTAAGAATTGAAGATATTTTCTATAGACCTGGAGAATTTAAAATTGAATAGTAAATCAATACTCACTATTAAAAATGACATATTGAGAGTTGCAGCTCTGTCTTTTTGCTTCTTTTCAAATTACTTGGTTGCTGCAGCTCAGTGCCCTTTCACAGAGGCTGTGAGGGCAAGGTTAGTATTCCTCCTAGTGGAAGCAGAGCATGTTCCTCTTTGCGGGCTGTTTATGAACTTACCTGCTCAGCTACCACATAATTACCGGGCTCTTAAGGCAGCCTGTGAACTTTCAGTGGTGTCCAAATGTATTACAGCAGCTGGAAAGCAAATGTTGGCTAAAGAACAAGTTTAAGAGTCCTGATCTAAGAAAAATATATTTCTTAACCTTTCTGCACCAGTTCCACAGTGGTTTATATACTGAATCATGCTTTGTTTTGGCAGAAGGTAATGCTGACTATTTTTCTTTGCTTGTAATAAGTTATTCTGTTAATGGCTGTTGCTGCAGTTACGTGTCTGCCAGATGTGGCTGGACAGACAAGCCTCATGTTGATGAGGCTTGACCATAAGCTGAGTTTGTGACTGAGATTTATGGCCATAAGTCTTTCCTTTACCTCATGGGCTCTGGAGGCAGAGAACGGAGCTGTGCAAAATTTGTGGTTTTCAGTGACGTCAGTGGGATGTGAGCATCTGTAGCAGCTTTGAGGGTTGGCCTTTTTTAGTCTGGCTCCAACATGCTCGGAGAAGTTATGACTAGAATAACCAAACTATGATTTAACAATCTGAAAATGCTGCTTTTTGTTGGCAAAGCTTTGGTCCTTCAGAGGCTTTAATGAGTCTTCTCATTAAGATGATGTAAGGGCTTGCAGTTTTGGAGCCTTGTTTTAGCAAAATAATGGGCTGTTTGTGGAATATTACTCTGTGCAATACGCATAATCCCAGTCTATTTTCTAATAATGTATTTTCTGTTTAAAGATTATAAAATAAATAGAAGTTAGGAGCACAAATGATAGTGGGGACAAGTATCACCCTAATAGTTCTGTTCCTCTAACAGGTGGGACAGTTCTTGAGAAAGGGTGCAGTTTGATGGAGACTCTTCTACGACAGGGCCAGCAAACATGAATCCTGTTCCCTTACATTCTTACTGGGTTGGGTTGAGAAGGTTGTTTATGTGACTGTGCATCAAATCCATTCAAAGAAGTGTCTGGGTTAAAATATAGTTGGTTTCTTGCTCAGCCTGTTTTTCAGCCAGATAGTTCCCTGGTCTGGTTCACCACTACACAGCACAGGGGCTGGTGCTATCGCAAGGGAAGGATTGATGGAGGCTGAGACTAGCTATGCACTACAGCTGCCAACTGTCTGACTAATGTCTAGGACATGATGTTGTTAGAAAAACTAAAGGTTATTTTGTTGTTCAAAAATCTCTTAGGTTGGTATGAAGATGAAGTTTTTCATGTGAATGCTTTTGGATTTCCGCCTACTGAGCCTTCTGCTACCACTAGGTATAAAACTGACTTTCAGCAGCCTCACTCCATATTTTGTTATGGTTTTCTAAGTAAGCACATTATTATTTTATAATTTCTGTGACATTAAAGTGTGCTATTCTTTCTCCTCCCCCAATGCTTCAAAATAAAAACAGTTTTAAGGAAGCAATTCTGGGACTTGCTGGTCTGCTTGGACCAGTACTAAAGCCTGAAGTGTTGGCAGAAAAACCCTTCCAAAGGCCGTTAGGTTTTGCATGTTAATTGAGATGAAAGCCCTTCTCAGTTGCAAAACCAGGTAACTATTACATGGGAGTAAAATTCCTTGTTACTCAAAGAATGGATGTGGGAAAGAACCCAGGATAAATATTACCCTGAGATAATTAAGTTACGGCAGGGCAGCACCTCTGCTTTATGTCTAGGTGACTGCATTTCTCTCCTTGGGTTTCTCCATGAAGTAGTAAATGATTATTGATACCATCTGAGCTGCCTATCATAATAGTAACAACAACGATACTAATACTAATACTAATACTAATACTAATACTAATACTAATACTAATACTAATACTAATACTAATACTAATACTAATACTAAAGGTTTAAGTGAGTCATGATCAAAACTACTAACGATTTGGGAAGAAAACAGGACTAACTTGAATATTTTAATGATGTAGAGCCTTCTACGGGAATGTAAACTTCTTTGGAGGGCCTTCTTCAGCTTCAGTGAAGGCTTCTGCAAAACTGAAGCAGCTGGAGGATGAAAATGAAGATGCAATGTTTGTATTTCTTTCTGATGTATGGCTGGACCAAGCAGAAGTACTGGAAAAGCTTCACACAATGTTTTCGGGTAGGTGAGGACTGTTTTGGCTCTGAGCCTTGTTTCAGAGAATTTTTACTATTTTCCTAAGCCCTTAGCAGCCTTGGTGGGTGGAGCTGACGAGTGCAGCAGGGCAGTCTGATGACTGGCTGGTCCTCGGTCCCCAGCTGTGGCTCTGTCCCCTCCTTGGCATGGGCTGGGAAGTCTGACCCCACGGTGAGCTCATTTAGGGATTATCTCAGCAGAAAACTAATTGCCTTTGCTGGAGAATTAGTTTTATGCTGGTTTAGCTTTGTGAACACTTCATCATGTGGTCGCTCCCAGGAGCATCCCTGTCGGGCAGGGCGAGCTGGATGGTGTACAACTGACATCAAGACAGTGGTCTCTGTGCCTTTTTTCCAAAGTATATTCTTAAATGAAAAGGTAAGACAATGGTTTGCAAGAGTCCTGTTATTACTGTATTGTTTATTTTTTATGAAATTGCACTTTAAGACAGTTAGAATAAGCCCAACTGTTCCATTTTTTGGTAGGATCCCACTGAACCCAAGCCCAAAGCCAGTGAAGTCTCATTCTAATTTTAGTGACAGCTATTTGGATTTCATGGTTGCTATTATATTTCTTTTGGATCTTTAACAGTTTTTAAAATTGGATTGCATTATATTTTTGCAAGCTGACACCTAGTACTAATATTGTTTTGGATGGTAGCCATTTTATGTGCTGTGACAAGAACATTTCCCTTGCTCGTGGAAGTTATTCCTAGGCTTAGTTTAAAGAAAACTTATTACTTCATCAGAGATCAGCAGTCCCTCAAATGCTTTTTGGTTCTACCGATGAAAAAATGTCAGTTACTCTTAAAATATGAACTGTTTCTTCCACGCATCGTTACATTAGTAATGTTGACAACGTTTGGATAGCAAGTATGTGTGAGATCTGTGAATTGCTTCTTTGTATTCCAGAGCAGTTTTGGAACAGCTTGTCCTGTCTGTCTTAGAAGGGTAGAATGGAAGTGTGAGAGGGTGGCTAATTTAAAAATAAGCAACATAAGATGCAGGGTGGGAAACTGCTACTCACCTAAAGAAAATTGGACACAAATTGCCCCTCTCACCCAGAAGTTACAAAACCAGTTCACTATCTTGATCAAAGTTGGCAAGATCCTTGAGGCAAACTAAACTTGACCTAAGATTGTGTATGCTGAAGTAATAAAGGGACTTTGGTCAGTGAGGTTAATGTACTGAACTCAGCTGGCAGAGATGCATAGATTGCATTTATTATTTTGAGACTTTTTTTTTAATAGGCAAGTAATAAGCTTCATAATTACAAACTAAAAATAATAGCTGAGTGGAATAGCAAGGAAAAACATTGATGAGCCATTTCTCTGGTATAAACAATTCTGTCCTATTTACCAACTAGACTGAAAAATAGTGAAGTAAATCCAAGTCTGGTACTGCATGTCAGGAAAATGGAGAGTAACCTGGAATGTGAGATGAATGTCTGAGTAGATTTTAAAAAAAAATTTATTTCAGGGCTGGGAATCAAGTTTCTTTTTTCACTCTTTGCTATAAAACATGTGTTTCTGGGTGATTAGTGGAATTGTGAGGATTCATCAGTTCTTAAAATGCTCAGGCAATTCCAGTTACTGTTGCTTTATAATGACAAAGAGCGAATTAAATGTTGATAGAGCCCTTGAATTGGAGTGATGCATGGAGGTTAATAGTAATCCATTGCTACCTACTCGCTATTTTTCTCTTTAAGGAAAGCATGCATTTTTAAATTGTATTTTTTATTATAATTGTACTTTGTGTAATTATATGACTGGGTCAGTAGTTAGTTGGATACACACAAACGGTGTTGTTGGAACTGAGCCTGTGTATAACAGAGGGCTTCCTTGAAGTGACATTTGTACATTGCCATTATCCTTTTTAAGCTAACAAAAGCAAATAGTTCAGGTATATTAATAACAGCAGAGCTTAAAGTGCTGTTTCAGTTTCTGCCTTTCATGGAATGGCCTGGAGGCTGAATGCTGAAAGATACTGAAGGGAATTAATATACTGACACATACTCTTGTTTTCCCAGGTTATTCCTCTGCACCTCCAACCTGCTTTTTCTTTTGTGGAAATTTTTCATCTGCACCATATGGAAAAAATCAGATTCAGTCACTGAAAGGTAGGGAAGTCTTTCTATACAGTCAGACGTGAAATTAAAAGAATGATGGCAAAACAAATCAGGAGAGCAGAAAAGAAACCCTTGTTTTCTAAGTGACACATTTTTTTCATGTGCTGTAGGGGTGATTCATGTAATACATGTTCATTGTCTAACCAGGTGTTGTATCATAGATTCTTTTTTTCCTGACTCCAGGTTCTTTGAAGGCTCTTGCAGATATTATATGTGAATATCCCAGCATTCATAAAAGGTACACAGTAAAGTGCTGTGAAAAAGGAAATTTGTTTATTTTGTGAAACCTTTAATTGCTTTAAGAAACTAACAGATACCATGTTTTCGCATTATTTTGAGCCAGCTATGACCAGATAGAAAGCTGGGCTTATAACAGGCCTGTGAGTTTGTTTTGGGAACAGTGTAAGGTTTTGATTTTATCTATAATAGCTTGGTCATGGAAGCTGCTGTTGAGTGAGCAAAAGTGAAACTGCCTCTCCCTGCAACATTTTCCACATGGATTAAACACAGCTCATGATTCCCCAGAAGTGCTATTCGGGTGAGCCCTTTTCCCCTGGAATTCCCTTGAACTCAGCAGGGTTCTGCCTGAGCAGTGCTGCTTTATAAACTGATGTTGAAGTCTTGATGCTGTTACGAGCACCTACAGGCCTTCTGTACCAGCCCCAGAAAATGTCGTCTGAAACACCGACTGCTGCCCACATGGAGGCATCTCATTTTTCTCCCTTCCATCCTTGCACACACAGTTCTCCACAGCCTCTGGTTTGAGAACTAACCAAAGTGATGCAGTCCTCCAAAGGAATCTTTTATTTATTCCTTCGTCTGTCCCTGCTCTGTGGGAACCCCATTTCAGGCCTGGAGAACTAAATCCCTTCTACAGAAATCTGAATATACAAAGTAGAGTAAAATAGAGAGGCAGCCGGGTTTATCCTTTCTGACTTCTGATCTTTGAATTTGTAACAGTAGCCCCTAAGTAGAGCTAGTTCCTAGAACGGGCCCCAAACCAGGAAAGGCACAGCCTGTAGCTCTTGAGCACTGTGTGGGATGGAAGCAGGCATACCTATGCTGCTGGATTATCTGAGGTGCCTGTATGGGATCCTGGAGCCCACTGCCACCGAGTCCTGAGCCAGGCTGCACACCTGGTCTGTCTCCCTTCCCACAGTCAGTCCCCCTTGCACCGTGAATAGTTTAAAACTTTTTCTCCACTTCAGTGAGGAATGGATGTGTATTTTATGCCTTAGCTGTGATTTATGTAGTTCTTAAGGTCAGGAAGAGCTGTCATCTCAGCCCCAGAATAGGTTATTTGCATGCATCTGTGGAGCAATGGCTGTATGTAGCCAATGTTTAGATACTTCTAGGATCATTTTGTATAAAAGTGATTATGTTGCACTTTTTACAGTAGTCGATTTGTGTTTGTTCCTGGCCCTGAAGACCCTGGTCCTGGTTCTATTTTACCAAGGTCAGTTTGCTTCACTTTCTCAAATTCTGGAATTTTCAGTTAAATGGTTAAAAAAGGTAAGAGTACTTATTGCTACATCTGTTGCTATTTATTTTAGACCTCCTCTGGCTGAAAATATTACTCAGGAGTTCAGGCAGCTGGTGCCATTTTCAGTTTTCACCACAAATCCTTGCAGGTAACAGTGTAACTTACTGCTGTTTTTCATGTGTTTTTTTTTTTTTTTTTTACTGAATGACAAATTTATGTGCAGATGTAATTTTCAAAAATTACAAATTTTGGAAAGATTTGTCTTAAATTTTTCAAATTATTAGATTTCCTCGCTTGCATTTATTATAACTAGTTTTAAATACATTAATAAATTCGTGATGAAAGGAAGTAGCGCTCAAAGTTTGATAGTGCGTATCAAAAGCATCAGGTGTTTTTTGAATCTGGAGAGAATGAAGGGAAGATGAGAAACTGTTATTTTAATTGAAATGTGCTTTTTCATTTTGCTATATTAGAGGGAAATCAACTTTATAATGCAGCTCCCTATCATCATCTTGATTTATTTAATTTCATTAATGTTTTCTGGTTAGGATTCAATATTGCACCCAAGAAATAATTATCTTTCGTGAAGATTTGGTGAACAAAATGTGCAGAAACTGTGTCCGCTTCCCCGCCAGCAACATGGACATTCCCAATCATGTGAGTGAGCTGCCTTCAACTCTTCTTGCTAAGATCTCCTTGACTTCTTTTTTAATCAGTTTCTTAATCTGCCTTTAGGGTGCTCTGATCTGCGTTCTCATGACATATTGCAAGAGTAGCCAAGAGGGATTGTAAGAAGGATCTATACATGTAGTATTATTAATTTCATTTCCATCTTGACAGTAAAATGACTGAAACCATGGTGCTGACTGCTGGCATTGAGTCATTCTGACTCTCCCACTGCAGGTGCCCTTGAACACAAAACTTCATAGCAGCTGACTTTTGGTGTCTGTGCACCAGCAATGAATGTTGTACCATGAAACATTGATTCCTAAAGGCAAAGTTTTATACAAAATACTTTTTTTTGATCAATGAACCGGTGACATTTGCAGTAAAGCAGCGTGTCACTTTTCCAAAAGGTCATCTGTATCTTCTGCCTTCTTGCTTGAAGTCTTAATCCTGCTTCTGATACATCGCCACAGTGCTCCGAGTTATGTTTGTAGTTAATGAATGCACGGCAGGAGTTGATGGGACTCACTGATATAATTGAATGAGAATGATCCAGGCAGGACTGGCTGGTTGCAGTGATGGATGGAGTCTGTTTCTGTTTATTTTATAGGGGTTTTTTTGTTTATTTGTTTGACTCATAAACTTATTGTAGCTCTTTCTTCCCTCCCTCCATCACCACAGTGCTCAGTTTCTTTGTGAACACAGGGAACCCAGTGTTTGCACGCATGTATGTATATGCTGCAAGCCATCACTTCCCTGTACTCCTACAGGGCTTTCCCATGCTTGGAAGGGAAAGAATCATGAAGGAAATGTAGAATTATGTATGGCAACACTTTCTGCCAATAACAATACTGGCTTGATTTTGCATACTTCAGTTTTTCTCTGCCTTTTCTGCCTGTCATTAGTTTTTTAATTCAGCCATCAGTGTAAAAAAGATGAATGAGAAAGGGAAATTTTGTTACTAATATTAGATTGAATTAATAGTGTCTTTAGGCCTCATACAGTATTAATGGGATAACTGGGCCTATGCTTGGCGCATCGTTTTCTTTCAACAGCAGACCCTTCCACCAAGTTGCTGCAGCTATTTCAGCCCTTTGGGAAAAATGGAGCCTATTGGCAGTTACGTGATTGATTAGAAATAGTAAAAGCTTCGAGGGGGCTTGAGGAGAGAGTTGCAGAAGCCAAAATTCCCCGTCTGGAATCTGCCAGATGAAAAAGCAAATGAAAGGGGGCAGCTGGTGTCTGGAGCAGGGCAACTCCCAGAACAGCCAAAGGAATCAAAATCATTTGGGAATCAAATGATTTCCTTAGTTCAGGGAAAAGACACTGTTTAAATGTGGTTCTTGTGGTTAACTGGTACTGTGAGGAAAGCATGAGGGGAAAAAAAAAAACAGAAAATGAAAGTTATGACATTGTTTGTACTTCCTGGGCTGGAGGAACAGGTAAGCAGATTCTCTCTGTTGGAGAGTCTGATTGATGAAATAGTTTTGAGATCTTCAAATACTGAAATACTGGCTGATAAATTTCAGAAAAAACTTTAAAAACCCCCACAACACCAAAAAAAAAAAAAAAAAAAAAAAAAAAAAAAAAAAAAAAAAAAAGAAGCAGCTGACTGTTGTAGGGGAGTAGCTCTTTACTCTAGAAATCAGTGATAATCAGAGGGAATGAGATACACAAAACCCATTTTCAGGTTCAAAGCTTCTTTATTAACAGAGCGTTAGCTTCTACAGGGATTAGACTTGTAGAAAATGGTTCAGACTAACTATTTATGTTTACCTTGCAGTTTGTAAAGACTATATTATCACAAGGACATCTGACGCCCCTTCCGCTGTACGTTAGCCCCGTGTACTGGGCCTACGACTACGCCCTGAGGGTCTACCCTGTGCCTGATATGCTCATCATTGCAGATAAATACGACCCATTCACTGTCACCAACACTGACTGTCTTTGCATAAATCCTGTAAGATTTCCTTATGCTTTACCAAAATAAGAAGGGGGTGCAGTCTCACAGTCAAGCGTGTGTCTTACTGTTTGTACAGTATTTTACTGACACAAGTGTGGTGTATACATTTTTCTTTGCAGGGTTCATTTCCAAGAAGTGGATTTTCGTTCAAGGTATTCTACCCCTCCAACAAGACAGTTGAAGACAGGTAAATATATTCAGTTTCTCATTTAAAAGGAAATATCTTCCAATTTGCTGTCTTTCTAATATCAGGAGGAACACAGAAAATCAATTCTATAAACAGAGTGAAGTTTCTAGCAGTTTAATGTAGACTTAAAATTCATACTTAGGCAGTGTAAGAAATCCAAATGCCTAGAACTAAAATAATAAACTTAGAAATTAAGGTCAAACAACAATGATGAGAGGCATGATCCAAAAGTAAAAGGAAAGATAGACTGTGCTATATGATTCTCAATAATTGAAACACAGTTAGGAAACAAATTCATTTCTGGAGATGATGCTTGCTACATAAGGTTAATTACACTTTTGGTCAATTCTTGGTTCTCTCTGTGATCATCATCAAGCCCAGAAGCCACTTGTGTGCTTTGATTTCACATATTTTAAATCTGTACTTATTCATTCCAACTGTGCTCTTCCAATGATTGGAAAAAAAGGCCAGCTGCAACACCAAAAAATATCAAGAAGTATGAAAGGGCTTACAACTGTGATGAAAATTGCCTGTTGAAATAATGATAGTAGAACCCCATGGGAAAAGTGCAAATTTATCTCGTCTGATCCAGTTTCATGCCTTGCTGCAGAAGCTGTGTTTTTCTCAAAGGGGAATGTGTAACACCCCCCCCTCCCTCCCACAGCAACTGATGATAGATTGACCCATGTAACCTTTACTTGAGGATAGAAAATATCATACCATGAGATGCTTTAGGTCTTTAAATAGTTTCAAACATTATCAAGACTTTCCTAGATCAAGAAATAGAATTGTGAAGTGTTTTTTTAAAAAAAAAACCCTAAATATTGTTTTTTCTTTGGTACTTTCAGCAAGCTTCAGGGTCTCTGAATTTCTGTGAGACTGCAAAAAGGGAGCAAGACTCCATAAAGCCACCTGTAGCACTCATTGGAGATGGATTGATTTTTATGATGTATTACAGACTGTTTATAATAAATGTCAAAGCCAAAAAGGTCTATTTTGTACACAAATAAACTTTTACAGGAAAAGATACTGGTGTTAGTTTTGATAAAATGTAGAGTCCCGGTGAAGATTAATTGTCAGAGCACGATAAAAGAAGGCAACTGGAGGAACCAAACGCATGTGTATCAAACAGGAAATATCTCTTTTAAAAAAAGAGAAGTTAAAAATAGGGAGAACTTTGTGTTTCACCACGCTGAGTTGAACTGAGAGCTAGTTATCTACAGGAGATAACAGAAATGTGAACTAAGGTTTTTATTTGGATAGAAGGGTCTAGAAACGATCATGAGGTGTTATTTCCTAACAGTCTATAATCTGTTTGTGGGTAGTGTTATGCCAGCAGGGCGAGGAGAGGTAAGAGGGACAAGGACATGGTGCTTTGACACTTCTCTGGAAGGCCGGGAGGAGGAAATCTCCCTGAAGGAAAAATCAGGAAGGTGGGAAAGAGTCAGGGCCTGGAAGTGCTGACTTCTGCGTCAGCAGCTGGTTTGGCTTACGGCAGAGAGTGGCCCGTGGGCACATGAAAACGGCCCCTTTTTGATGAAACTAAGCAAAAAGCTGCTCCAGCTGCTCGTGGGCAGGGAGACCAGGGGAGCACCAGCTCCCCCTGAGCCTCTGTAGAACAGAGAGCGGAGCCTCAGCGCCAGGTGTTTTGATTCACAGACCTTTCCCGCTGCGGGGGAGCAGGAGGGGCGAGGGCCCAGAGCCAGCACAAAGCCACTGAGGGGAAAGGCTCAGCCGAAGGGCTCGCAAGTGGCGAGGAATCCACCCTGAGGTAGCCCACTGGTGTGGGGAGGGGGAGGCGGCGCCATCTTGTTTGGCATCTCCATAGCAACTGGCCGGCGGCGCCATCTTGTTTGTTATCACCAGAGCAACGAGCACAGGCCGCAGCCGCCATCTTGTTTGGCGTCTCCACAGCAACGGGAGCGGCCGGGCCGGGCCGGGGCCATGGCGGGCGCGGGGCGGCTGGAGGAGCTGGAGCTCAGCGCCGAGGAGGCGGAGCGGCTCCAACGGGCTTTCCGCGACGAGCAGTTCCGAGCGCTGTTCGCCGAGTACGCGGCGGAGCTGGCCGACCCGGAGCAGCGGCGGTTGTACGAGGAGGAAGTGGCCGCCCTGGAGCGGGAACGCGGCGTGGAGGTGCGCTTCGTCCACCCCACGGCGGGCTACGTGCTGCGCACCAGCCAGGCCGGCTCCCGCCGCTGCTACCTCAACATCTGCAGCAACCC